TTCTTGGAGGCTTTGGATGTAGGAGCTTTGACTTTGTTGTCTTCTTCTGGTTGTATGTTATGATCTTCTTTGTCATCTAAGTAAAATTCTGGCTCTTTGCTCTGCTTGCTCATGATCCCAGTCAATTAGTTGAGTTATAAACTCTTAAAGTAAGAGAGTCTGCTTCCAGTGTAGAGAATGTACTGTCCCAAGCTTTGGGGGTTTTGTGCAGCTGTTTTTAGAGATACTTCTAGGGACCTATAAATATTCAGTTCTTCCAAGGTGCTATGTTCAAGGGTGAGGTGTTTACTCCCTTCCTGGCCTGTGCTCTGATCCATGGTGACCACAAGCACTCTTTTCTGCTTTGGAACTGTGAAGAGGACTTCCTTTGTATCATCACTAGAAACTCTACCAAGTCATTGCTCCTCCTTGCCCCAGGAATGCCATCCAGAACTGTGACCCATATCCAATCATGGGCAAAGCAAGAGAATCCTTCACCAGCAGAGAGATCCCTGCAATCCCCCTCTGATCAGCCACTTGATTACCCCTCAGTCTGTGGGCCAGAAGCTCTGAAGGCAGCCGCCACCCCAGAACAGTGCCAGGACTGGAGCTGGGACCTTGCCTTTTCTCTTACTGCAGACTTAGACTTTTCCCACTGACCTTCTAAGTTGTCTTTGGCATTCATGGGTTGAGAAGTCTGGAAACCACCACAGCTGCCCATGATTCAGTCCTCTAAGGTCTGCTCTAGGCTTACTGAGGCCTGGTTTGCCTATGCACCCACACCAAACTGCATTCCTCTTCCAGCCTAGCATGATAGACCTTTCTGATCAACCATCCAGGTTTTCTTGGGCTGGAAATTTATTTCACCCTATCTTTTTGTGGGTTCTGCTGCTTTAGAATTTGTTTAGAGCCATTTTTACAGGTATTTGGAGGGGTTTGGGAGAGAGCTCAAGCAAATCACTGCTTTCACTCCACCAACTTGGATCCCCTCAGTTAACCTTTTTAAGTATGATTTCCCTCATCTGTAAAATCAAGACAGCAAAGCTCATAATGTTGCTGCAAGGATCAAATAAGAGGAATATAAGCAAAATCCTTTGCAAACCTTACAATGCCAACAAATGCTAAATGCTATAGCTCTAACTGATAAAACTTCCCAAACTGGTTAAAAATTGGTTCCCTCTTTGTTCCACCTTTGAAATTAGAATCTTTTATTCCAATTAGTAAAAACACAAGACATTCTTTTGGAGAAGAGATATATGTAGCCATCGCATGACAGAACTGAGGGATTATGAAGCTAATGTATTTCACCATACTACACACTTATGGTACATCTTCATTATTTGATGAATGTGAAAAATAGTTTGGTTTGCTCTTGGGAAGGCCTAGTGTATATATAGATAGATGTCTGGGCTGTGTCCTGGTTGTGTCTTTAAATGAAATATTAGCTAGGGTATAAATTAAACAAGGGATGTGCAAATGTGCTGAATGTGCAAATTACTGAGTATGATTTGCTCATCTATACAATATCTGACCACACCATCCCAAGGAGTTCCAGTCACTACCAGAAAAGAAAGATTTGACATCCTCTGCAAACTCTTTTCCCTGGAGGTAAAACAATTTGTTACACCTGCATATCTTGATTATCCAGAGTAAACTGCTGTAGATGCAGAGGCATGCCCCTTTGGGCTGCATTTCTTTTTACTGTTTTTCATGACTTCCCATCTTCAAAAGGTCTGAAAAACTGGATTAAAATAACTGAAGGAACATTGAAATTACCATAGCACACAACATCTTTTCACATTAATGCCTACTGCATGGAAGGCAACATATTATAGGAGAAAGAATACTGGAATCAAACAGTCTGGGTTCAAATCTATCCTCTTGCATTTACTACCAGTGTGATCTTGGGCAGCCTCAGTTTCCTTAAATGGAAAAAGAGATTCTTGGACTACAAAATTACAAAGTCCTTCTCATCTCTAAATCTATAATATTAGGAGTCTTTACAGAATTATAGATTTTTTTTAAATAGCTTACTAGTTCAGAGTATGCCACTTACTATTTGATTATTATTTAGAATAAATTCCTTAAACTTTTTCAACTCAGCTTCCTCATATGAAAAATGAAATAAGAATATCTGTCTTGCCCTTCTCACAAAGCTACAAAAATCAAAAGAAAAATGAGAAAGTTCTTTGAAGGCATGAGTGAAATATGTGTGTGTGTTTTTATATCACCTTTATTTCCAAATTCACCCTCCCTTCCCTACCAGAGCAGCCATCTTTTGTAAAAATAATAAAAATTAAAATATATAAATATAAAATAAAAATAAAAAGAGAAGGGAAAAAGGACAGTTCAGCAAAAGTAACCAACACACCACGTGAGTCACAGCATACACCATATTCCACACCCATAATTGTCCACCTCTTCAACAATGAAAAGGAGGTTCATTTTCTCATCTCTTCCTCAGGACCAAGTTATATCATTATAATTATATAGTGTTAACATCTTTGGGCTGTTAGTGTTCTTTCCATTTACGCTATTGGAGTCGGTAAGTAAATTATTTTCCTCATTATGCTTGCTTCACTTTGTACCGTGGTGTCCATGAGTTTTCCTGTGCTTAGTAGAAATTTGTCATATTCAATGTTTCTTATGGTGAATATTACTTAATATTCATATGTCACATGTTTTGCCACACCCTTCCTCCAAATGGTATTCACCTCACAGTTTCAGTTAGGTGGCACAGTGGATGGAATATTGGACCTAAAATCAGGAAGACAGAGTTCAAATCTGACCTCCAACACTCACTAGCTGTGTAACTCTAAGCCATTTCCTTAATCTCTATTTGCCTCAGTTTTGTCATCTGTTAAAAGAGAATAATAATAAGAATATCTACCTCTCAGGGTTGTTGTCAGAATCAAATGAGGTAATAACTGTAAAGCACTTAGCACAGTATCGGGTACATGGTAATCACTATATAAATGGTGGCTGATAATAATAGCATCTATTTTGTCCATGTTGTTTTTGTTTATTTTTTTTCCTACTATAAAAAGTGTTTTCAGGGCAGCTAGGTGGAACAGTGGATAGAGCACCAGCCCTAGACTCTGGAGGACCTGAGTTCAAATCCGGCCTCAGACATATAACACTTACTAGCTGTGTGACCCTGGGCAAGTCACTTAACCCCATTGCCTAGCCTAATTAATAAATAAACAAACAAATAAATAAATAAGTTAAATAAATAAATAGATGAATAAATGAATGAATGAATAAATAAATCAATAAATGAATGAATGAATAAATGAGTGAATGAATGTATGTATGAATGAACAAACAAACAAATAAATAAATTAAAATAAATATGAAAAGTGATTTGAATATCGTGGTATATATTTAGAGTGTGTATCTTTGACCTCCTTGAGATTGGTAAGACACTTTTTTTTTATTTTAAAACAATTTTTCAGTCATATCCAACTCTTTGTCACCTCTTTTAGGCTTTTCTTGGCAAACATGACGGAGTGATTTTCTATTTCCATCTCCAGTAGCAAGATGTTAAAAAACTTTTAAGTTTATAAATAGTTGTATGTACAATTCTATAAGTGATGTGAAATAGAACATGGCCAAGAATAGAGTCAGCCTCAAAGTAAGAAAGAGCTAGTTTCAAGTTTTGCCTCTGGCTCATGCTGACTGTTCAGACTTATGTAGTCATTTACATTCTCTGTGTTCTGTGGAACTCTTTAAGACTACGAATGTCAGTGAAATAGTCAGCCTGCATTGATAGAGAGGATTTCCTTCCCCATGAATTACCTATGCCAAAGAAATCACATATCCATTCCTACTCTGTATTACTCAATTCAATTGTGAAGTATAGGAGGCATTATGGAATCATTTGTGCCTCTGATTACCATCCTCATTATCACTCCAGAAAATAGATAATAAATGGTAACATTCTTTAAAGTTCTAAGGATCTTTGATCTTTCACTACTTTGTATTGCTATTTCCTACTTCCAATGCCTTATTGATGGTTCTTCAGAGCTACCAGGAATACTTAGCTTTCCAGGAACTTGTGACTCCAAAAAGTAAGGAGTCATTGTCTCTTGGAAGTGCAGAAAGTGACTCATGAAACTGGCAAATTATTTGAGGTATTCTTATTTTGAGTCCTTTTTGGATGTTGTATGTTTTATTGCACATGGTGTTTTTTATTTTTCAAAAATAAAATTAAAAAGTGCATATCAACAGTGTTGAGATAACAATTTAAAGCATTGTTCCCATTCTGGAGCTGTTAAAACTAAGGTATAGATAGAATGAAGTGTTTGACATGAGATTTTATGCCAGTACACTAGAAATAAGTATTAAAAATGCTGGGTTGGGGGCAGGGTTTGTGATTATTTACATTCAATTCTATTTCCCTTGACCATCAGCTTAGGTGATGTTTTTACAATCAAAAATGGCAAAATTTTTAAAAATAAACAATGAAACTCAGGTGTCTGGAATACAGATCTGCAAGGAGTCCTTGCTGAATATCTATCCACAATGTTTTTTCTCAAGTCATTGGTTTGGGATACATGGGATATAGTCATGGATATTGCCAAGTTCCCCTCTAGACCTGCCCATAGCTTTACCTTGCACTTCTAATAAAAGAAAGAACGTTGTACTAGAAAGAATAATGAACTTGGTGACAGAAGAGATTTGGGTTAATTCTGGTATTTACTAGGGGTGTGACTCTGAGCAAACACCATTTACCTTTTCTGAGCCTCAGTTTCCTCATCTGTAATGTGAAGATAATGATGCCTAAAGTACTTATGCCACAGGTTGTTGTGAAAATGAAATGAGGCAATGCAAGCAAAGCACATTGTAAATCATAAATAATTTATAAGTGTGATTATTATTTTAGCCAAGGGAGGAAAGGCATTCAAATAAGCTCTCACATTTCTAACAGGAACCTCCCCTAAGGAGTCCATTTTGATAGAAGATTGGCTTGGGGTGACTAGCTAACAAGACTCAGATGATTTTCTTTCTGTTTTCTACAGGGCACCTATTTCGGGAGAGGGAGACCAGACCTGTGATTTTAGTGATCTAAGAGACTCGCAGGTAGAAAATACCTAATTAATAGCTACTAAATAAAAGCATTAATAATATAACTAGCATTTTATAGTACTTTTTGAGGTTTTGAAAGTACATTACAAATGTTATTTCATAACAACCCTGAGAGGGAGGTGTTATTATTTGATTATTACTAGATTAGCATCTGTTCTGAAACTTATAGTCAGAGTAGCCTAGGATACCATAAGGTTCAGTCACTTCTCTATGGTCACACAGCCAGGTACAGCAAAAATTAGACTCAAAGGTACGTCTTACTCAGCCACACTGCCTCTTATTACTTAAGATAAATGATTTCTTCTCTTCAGCAAAACCAAGACCTTTCTCTTTTTTTGTATATTTCCAAATTTATAAGCATATAGCAGGTTCACAGTGGGGAAAGTGATCAAAAAATCTCATTCTTCATGGTGTGGTTGATAGTATGCTAGACCTGTGTCAGTAAAACCAGAGTTAAAGTCTCATGTATGATACTTACTACATAAACCTAGCTAAGTCCTTGAACTTCTTTCATTCTCTTTTCTTATCTATAAAATGAGGGGAGAAAGATTGACTTGATAGTTTCCAAGGCTTCTTTCCAAATCTAAATCTATTATCTTTTGATGGTCACCTATTTCCAGCCACCCTCTACCAAGGAGAATGTGCATATAGGTGAAAAGAAACATAGTAAAATAGCACATGAATTTAAAAAGTCAGGGCAGGATAAAAAACTTGTTGCCAGATGAAACAATAATTTAGTATCATATTCAAAAGCCAAATATTTTATCATTTTTATAACCTTTAAATCAAATATTACTTATTGCATACTCACTGGTATAAGATTGCTTCAGTGGGAAAAAACTCACCAGGCTTATAAACTCTTAAAATGGGGAATCAAATAAACAGTCCCCTTGCCTTTTCTATGGCTCCTTTTCATTCACAATAAGACTTCCTATTTTAAAGTTTTGATAATGAGGAATATTGCACAGGAGAAAGAATACTAGACTTTGAGGCAGAGGAAATAGGTTCAATTCTTGGCTCCACTCTTCCGTAGTTGTGTGACCAAGGTGAAATCTCATACACTCTCTGAGCCTCAGTGCCCTCAGCTGTTAAATCAGAATAATAACACTTTCATTACCATCTCATAGGGTTGTTATGAAAAAAAGAGATTGATAAATCTTCAGGTGTTATATAAACATTATTACCATCATTATCAACTAACAAAGTGTCCCTAAAGTCTTAGTGCAGTTTTATGCTGTTAAAGTTTTGGGAAACCCTGTATGGGTGAGAGTGGTATCATCATTATGGAGAAGCTGTAAAGTTTCCTGAAATTTGATTTGACTCCTAAGCTCTAGAATTTATTCTAGATAACTAGTTCTTCTATTACCCTTTTTCCTTACTCTAGCTTTTCCTCTCTTTTTTAAGACTTGGAATTTGCCCAACCTCATTTGAATTTTTGGCTGATAGAATTTAGGAAAGCCACCCCCACCCCGATTATGTTATTTTCTTGTCCTATAATGAATCAAGATTTGAGGCCACGTTCTTTCTGTCACAGGTTACAGGAAGCCCAAGGGCCTTGTTCATTAAAAAGGGGGGGAAAATGTCCAAGAAACTACCAAGCAAATGTCATTATCTTCACAAGTGCAGGATGTGTTTGTATAGGATGAAATATGCTGATGTGTAATTCACTGAATCACATTTCCATTAAGTACAAGTGGGAACCTCTTCGTTACCCAGAAGATGTTTAATTCCAGCTGGGAGTTAGATGAAAGGGAAGAGCTAATGTAGGAGATATGCATATTCAGTAAACAACCACAAACAATGAAAGAGGAAACTGATCTTTACAAAGAGATCATATATTAGAACTGAGAATTGCATGACATCAAATTGCAAGGTTTTTGAATTAATTTTCTCTACAATTCAATAAAAATATAAAATTAATTTAACAACTACCGGAACCTGATATGCATTAATTATTCATCTTCTTATAGAAACATATGTAAGGATATGCTCATTGGATTTTTACCATTTCATATTATGGGGGGAAAATAAGTTTATGAACTTTCCTCTATATTTACCTATTTCAAATATGCAGTCCCTTAGGATTTTAACTTCTTTCTACCTCTCAATGTTTTGTAAACTCAAGGAATGGTAAAGAGCTGTGACTGGCCTAGATAATTATAATGGCTTATTTAGATCATCAGCCTCTCTTTTGGAATTACGAAACTAGTTTCACATCAAATAAGAACAGTGCCTCATGAGAGATCCCCAGCACTTCCTGATCTGGGTGTTGGCATGTACCAACTGAGAAGTCCTAACTGAGCCAAAAGGTGAATATATCCATGATGGCTAATCTGATAATTAAGCATCAAATACTTAACATGTAGGTATTATACTGAAATTGGATGAAACATCTCTCAATTATTCTAACTCAATTATTCATGAAATTGGAGGGCATAAGCATCACATGGATAAATTAAAGTCGCAGATAATCCAAAAAGCCTCATGGTAGCTAAGAGTTTCAAACACTTTCCTGTGATCCATTCTCTGTCTCTCTGTCTCTGTCTCTCTCTCTCTCTCTCTCTCTCTCTCTCTCTCTCTCTCTCTCTCTCTCTCTCTCTCTCTCTCTCTATCTCTATCTCTATCTCTCTCCCTCTCCCTCTCTCTGGCACCTCAGCTTCAAAAATTATCTGACTTCCACTTCCCATCCTTTCTGTCTGACTCTAGTTATACTGGTAAATATAAAATGACCAAAATACCACTATTACTACTGCTACTGCTACTAATAACAACAGCAACATTTATATATCACTTAAAGTTTGCCAAGTCTTTTACATCTCTCATTTCTTTGATCCTCACACCAACCCTGGGAAATAGGTGTTATTATTATTTCATTTTACAAGAAAGAAATAAGGATGAAAGAGGTTAAATGACTTATCCAAGGTAATGCCAAGTGAGTGTCCTAGAGAGGATTTGAACTCATCTTCCTAACTCCAAGTCTAGCACTCCATCTCCTGCTCCACTTGACTGCCTAAAGATTACCAAGATACTTGTCCATCATGTCCAATTCTTCATGACCCCTTTTGAGGTTTTCTTGGCAAGGATATTATAGTGATTTGCCATTTCCTTCTCTAGCTCATTTTATGGATGAGGAAACTGAGGCAAATAGGGTTAAATTACTTGCCCATGGTCACACAGCTAATAAATGTCTGAGACTGGATTTGGACTCAGCAATATGAGCATTCCTAGCTCCAGGCCTGCTGTTCTATCCCCTGTGTTACCTAGCTGCCATCCACCAAGATATTGGTAATGAGTTATTGATTTTGATAGTTTACTATCTATATTTTTTTCTGACTAGATTTTTTAAAAATATGAGCAGGTAGATGTTCAGATAATGGCTTCCATTCATTTCTTATTATTTATCACCAGTGAAGGCTGACATGGGAAAAAGGAAAGGTTGGAAAAGAGGGAGGTAGAAAAGGATGTAGATATCCATCAGTGAGAACTACTCTTGTAGTTTTTCTTATTTTTAAACTTCTAGCTATGGTAAGTAGGCATAAATTCTGTCTCCTATGATTAGACCTTAAGAAACAACCAGGTGCATTAATTTTATTTGTCTTTATATATGTATGTATACACATATATATGAGTAGATCCATACATCTGTGTATGTCTATGTACATATATAATATACATAACATAATAGATAGATAGATAGATAGATAGATAGATAGATAGATAGATAGATAGATAGATAATCAACACACAATCATCTACTAAGCACTTACTATGTGCTATGTAGTCTTCTGTGTTTTGGGGATACAACAAAATATATTCTCTGCTCTCTAGAAGCCATATTCTAATGAGGGATCATGCATATAACTAGATGACAGACAGATAGATTAGATAGATAGATAGATAGATAGATAGATAGATAGACAGACAGATAAGTAGGTGGGTAAAGCCAACCTCTGAATGGAGGGTTCAAGTGGCTGGAGTGGATTTAAGCATTTAAGTTGTCTTGAAAGCATCCAGAAAGGTCAAGAAGCAGAAATGAGGAGAGAAAGCATTCCAGGCATGGCATATATTGAGTACAAAGACACAGATATGGGAAATGGAGATAGAATGTCACGTGCAAGTAGACCAGTGTACCTAGATTGTGAAGTGGGCTAAGAGGAGTAAGGTCTGAAAAGACCAAAAAGTATGAAATGGACCAGATTGTAAAATGCTTTAAATGCTGAACAAAAGACATTTTAGTTGATCTTAGAAGTATGAGGGAAGGGGCAGCTAGGTGGTACAGTGGATAGAACACTGACCTAGAAGTCAAGAGGACCTGAGTTCAAATCCGGCCTCAGACCAAACACTTGCCACTGTGTGACCCTGGGCAAGTCACTTAACCCAAATTGCCACTGGAGTTTATTGAATGGGAAGTAATGTGGTCAGATGTAACATTTAGGAAAATCACTTTGGCATCTACAAGGGGGGGGTGGTTTTGAGTAAGAAGAGACTTGAGGCATGCAGACCTCCTAGGAGGATATTGGAAGAGTCCAGACAGCAAGGGGACACAGTGTGTAGAGTGTTAAACCTGTAATGAAGAAGATCTGCATTTAAATTTTTCCTCATATACTGGCTGTGCAACTCTGGGAAAGGCATTTAACTATCATTTGTCTCAGTTTTATGATTTGTAAAAGAGGGATAATAATAGCATCTATGTCCACAGCTGCCTTCTCACTCTGGAAGGTAACTCTGCCTCTTTATCCCTTCCCTTAATCGATTCTTTCCATTTTAAAGAGAATACCAAAAGTAGGACTTGAACCAAAGTCTTCTTGATTCTGAGGCTAGCTCTCTAGCCACTACAGAATGTTAATTAATCTTTTATTGTATGTTTTCTCTTTTATTGATTCTACTCCAAGAATGAAACAACTATATACAATTAAACAAGTTTTGTTGTTCATGGGAGTGATTGCATTTTGACAAAACCTGACATGGGCTCATGATTCACTCCACTCTCTCTT